ATGAAGACTTTTTGATATTTTCTTCTCAGGAACAATGTTTTGATTCTAGGGCTAATTTAGAAGTAGTTCAGTTTTTTAATAATAAAAATAAGGCATTAACATGTTTAGACAGTTACCCTATTATAAAAAAATTATTCATCAGATACAATACAAGTTTACTATCATCAGCTCCAGTTGAAAGATTGTTTTCATTTGCTGGATTTATTCATGCTCCAAATAGAAGTAATTTATCGAACACTAATTTCGAAAAACTTGTATTTCTTAAAGGAAATGATATTTATAGGTAATATTATTAAAATATATTGTAAGTTATAGTGCTAATAATATGGACAATATGGTCAGTATGATTGACTCGTTTTTAATTGATTTTTAAAAACTAAACATTTTTTATGTACATTTATATGCTTATCAATAGTTATTAAAAGTGTAATATAATTTTAAATAATATAATATCTATGTAACAAAACTAAGATAAAAATTATCCACTCATTTGAAATTTATTATAAATTATGTGACCATTAATGATATTCCTAACCTTAGTTGGCCTAACCATAGTAAATACTAAATAATAATATAATATATAATATAAGTAATATAACTAACCAAGATAATTTCAATTTTTGATGTAAATTGTGTTTTGTGCATTTAAAATATTATGTATAAGTATAAGTATATATGTAATATAAGTAATTATTTAATATATTATAATTAATAAATAATATATAATTTTAAATACTTGCATAGAATAGTAAACATGTATTATATTAGCTTTAACATATTGTAAAAATACATTTTATTGACTGAAAATTATATTATTATTTTTACAAAAATTTAATAAATTATGTGTAACTTGTAACTTATAATGTAACTAAGTTACAGTAACTTTAACTTGTAACCAGTTACTCAGGATATATATAACATGTAACTTGCAATCAGTTACCCAAAATTAAAGTAACTTGTAACTTGTATCCAGTTACACTGTGTAATGTAACTTACCCATCCCTGCTAGTCGACAGCATTTTTAAAAAATGTCTATATTTTCAAATATTTTTTACGCTTATGATTTCTTAAGTTTTACATTTTTGAATGATAACATACAGTTTGTATTTAATCTTGAGCAGAATATTGTTGTAAGTATTTCAATAAATAAAAATTTAATTCAGGACAATTATTTCAATAGAGTGTTATAAGTATTTAATCTTTTTGACGAGCTGAGTGGTTGAAATAACGAGTTGAGTCTTGCTTGATAAAAGAATCATTCTATATAATACTAATATATAGTGTAAAATATGTAGGTATCCTTAGAATTAGAAGCTGACAAAAAAACGGTGGATACATTCAGAACCGTATTTTGTGCGGAATTATTTATAAATGGGTTAATATTATATTGTAATACTTCCATTATAGTGACCTATTCAATAATGAAGTACACTTAAAATCACAATTTAAATGTGGAGACTTCTTTTATACTAGTCCGGACTCAATGGACCCCCCCCCCTGGCTATTTCCCTGATTGTATGACTACTGTATGATTATTATCATTGCTAAATAAATGTAGTCATGAATATTATTATATTTTATTGTTTTGTCTATGTCTTTATGTGATATAGATTTAAGACTATCATGTTTTTACTAAGTTAAATCTGTATAATATTCTAGTTACTGTATTACTAATAAATACTATAGTCTATAGTTCTAATAATTTAAACTAATTTGTATGCATTAAAATTATATATTTAATTTCACAGTTATAATGGATAGTATCAATTAAATCAAATTAAATTTAAATTTAAATTTATCATAGACCTATTAATAGATGGACTGTGATTCCTTACTCCCTGCCTGCATATTCTCGTGTCCACAACATAAACTATTCTTCGCTGAAGAAAAAATTATTGTTTTTAACTTTCCTCCATGGGTTTTTATACCCTGCTTTATTATAAAATTTTAGAAATGTACAAGGACAATTAATAATAAAAACACATTTTTTAATTTTTCATTCCTTTATTAATTGATACTTTTAATATCGTTACAACATGAATACATTTAAACAGAAAAAACGTTTTACTCGTTTTTAAAGTGGATAGCTTTAGGGAGTACGGATCTAATTCTTTGGTGTGGTTGTGATATATTTTTATTATAGTGATGAAGCCGGATTTTAAGTATAATTTTAGAATATTTTTGGTTAATTGGAGTAGATAATTGTGAATAGGAGATTGATTTAGAATATGTTCATTTAAAGAAGGGAATAACGCATTTATTTGGAGTTGACTAGAAGCCTTTATTATTAATAATGGAATAGGATTGCAATTTTGTTGTATTATATTCATATTAGATTTAAAAACTAATTCAGCTTTCATGGCTATATGTAAAACATTTTTGGAGGGTTTAAAATGCTAAATATCGCCTTGCAGATAAGTTTTCTTCATAGAAATACGGACCTAACAATTTTCCACCAATAAGTCCACACCAAACATTAGTACCCCACACAGTTTATAACAATCTTATTTATAACACGTATAAAAAAAAAAAAAAAAGTAACCAATAATAAATAATTATAAATGGTTTTATGCATTTTATAGTGAATTGTAAAAATGTATTATTTATTGAAATTTGAATGGCTCTTATTCAGTCAATTTTGGTTTTAGAGCCATGGTCAACTGGTCAAAATGACTTAAAAAAATTCAGTCTATCCGAATTTGGTATCAAAACTACCTGTTGCTATTAAAAAAAAAGTAAATTGCATTGCGCATGCGAGTACCAAAGGGTTTAAAAATTTGAAATTTATCTGAAAATGTGTATTTATATACCACAAGCTTGTAAAAAAAAAATTCGATTTATTCCAACATAATCCAGCCGAGACATTTAGTGAACCCTAATTTGGTGAACACACGGTATATAGTAGTATTACCTTAAGTATATTGTAAAAAATATGCATTACCTATTTGTTAATGTTAAACTGCCTCAAAATGTATTCCTTCTTATGTTATTGTTACCAATAATACTTAATAGTAATTTTAGAACATAATATATTATCATTTATGCGTTATGGTGATTTGAATATAATTGATTAGGTAAATAGTATGAGTGACAGTTTCTTCATTCAAAATATTTTCATTATCAGACAGTTCAATAGAAAACCACAAGCTCTACTTAATAAATGTGTTATAGGTAACAACTCATTGGACGACAAGTAGCCTTGATACAAATAATTAGCTATAAAAACAAAAAAAAAATATTAAATTATATAAATTTAAAAATTATTTTTGTTGAGAAACATACAATAACAGTTCTTTTCATTATTTAAACACCTGTTTAATATTAATATTAATTATATTATAATGGTAGGTATTTATTTGCAAAAACAGGAAAATATAATGTTATCATTTTGTTTTTTAAAGAATTCTTGATTTCAATTTTAGATTCTTAATTGTGAAGTTGTTTGGATAATTCAAACATGAAATATTATGTAATAGTGTATACATTAGAAAGTCTAAAGTGTCTGGGTCCTGGGACCTTATGGTTTTCCATATGTTAAAGTTTTAAGTGTTTTAAAATGGATTTCTAACACACATGTAAACGGTAATATGATAACCAAGTCAAAAATTCTAAATGTGCAATGTGTATTATTTCATAAAAAAAAAATATAGGTATTTATAAATGTATAATAAACATGAAAGTATAATAGAATATTTATTTTTATTAATAAAACATGTTAATAGGTCTATGGTATGTTTAATCTTTTACTAAAATAGATATATCATCAATTAATAAGAATACCAATATAAAGTTAAAATTAATGTACCATTTTATATTGAAACTTAAGTCATTAGAAATCAGGGCTTTACTTAAAATGATAACGTCAAAAACTCTACCCGTTTTAATAGGACGTCGTAAAAGCATGTTAAGTACTTAAGATCTAAGACCGTATATAGTATCTTCCAAATCACATTTTACAACAGTTTAACAACGTGATTATCAAGGTTTGATTATTTTTTCATAATAAAAGTTTTCTCCATAAAAATTACAATAAGAGGACCAACATATTTTAATCAATAAAAAACATTCAATTAGGTACAAATAAAAAAAAACATTTTTTTATTAAGACTACCTTACAAGTTACAGTATATAAAAAAATCCTTTTTTTGGTATAACTTCTAATGTAAGGAAGATCATCATTTTTTAAATACTGTATTCACTGAATACTACCAATTTTTAGAAGTATTATGGAAGATGATGTGTTTGAATATGTCGAATTTATTTTCTTTTTTTATGTTGTATGTAGTTTCATAATTTAATAATATTCTTACCTATGAACTACTTTTTTTCAATTACCATCATTTTTTGTTTTTTCTCAACAATTTGTCAATTGAGAATAATATGCTTACAAATTACAAAAATAAATTTTTAATAATTTTCTACTTTTAACAAAATTAAAATGATTATTGATAAAATTCTTTGACTTTTGATCCGATATTATTATAATATTAATATATTATATACATCTACTAATATTTTTTCAAGTTGCAAATTCATAATTTATACAAACACAATATTATGGGTAGTTATTATTTATCCATCTCATATTTGGAATTATATCTAAAAAACTATGAATTAACTTTGAATTATTAGAACCACTACCCCTTGTATAGAATACATAGGCAATTTAACATGTAGTAATGCGGCTTCCTTATCAATTAAAGTGATAAGTGCATAGATAATATTATATCTATGGATAAGTGCAAAATCTACACTCTACGGGAGCTATAGGTATTCGTTAATGTTTATTAATTATACATATTACCTACACACTATTCAGTATTTCCGCAAATATCAATGATCAAATTAACTATATTACTAGTATAATAAGTAATAACTGTAATTGCCTACCATACAAACTATTGAGTATTGAGTTGAATAAAATGTTTTCGCGAAGAGTCGTACAGAAATGTTGTTCTGAATGAACTATATAATAGTAAAACACATTTGTAGAAACAACTATGATATATCTAAGATGCTACTATAAATATTATTATATAACTTTGTTGAGCATTTTTCTCGTATTGTGTTTAAATGTTTATTTGGTGTTTTTCTTTTCGAAAGACGAGTCACCCATAGGAGTAAGTAAACCTTTTTATCAATTAAAATTATTATCACTGATCAAAAATTCTAAATACTATTTTACCTACCAATATAACTATATTTTAAATTTGTACAATATATTAAAGTTGGGCAAATAAACATCAATGCGTTAACTACTATTAACTACTTAATATCTATAATAAGATAAGAATTACTAAATAATTGAAAAATAAAATATAAAGTTGTTACCTACTTATTCATAAGTATTTTATTCCTAGCAAATGTATATATACAAATCCTACAGAATTACAATCTATTTTTGATTCTTAATAATGTACATTTAGCTCTTGGTTACACATTTTAAGTTAAGTGTTCTAACAATTTAAGTTAACAAAAATCGACAACATAAAATAATGTTCATTTGCCTAATACTTATACACCTATGACCTAATATTGAAAAAAATGTTTGTTTTTTTTTTTTATCAAAATAGAATATTTTTAGGATAGGTATCTAGTATATTATATTATAGAAACTTATTTAAAAACACCTACCTATAGTAAATAATTGTTTTTTTTTTTAACAAGTTGACTGCCAAGGTATTTTTATAGAGCTATCCTCATACGCCATGAGTACCAAATATAGTATTCACTCGGTTTGGCTCGTATAGTTTTAGGTTTTCTGGATTATTGAGTCCCAATAATGGTACTCAGTGACGAAATCACAAAAAAAAAACTATGAGTTATCAAGGTCAAACGGTTGACGTGTGAGTACCAGGATTGTTACTCATAGCGTATGAGGATAGCTCTATAAAAATACTGTGGCTCAGGAGACAAACCATGTGAGTACCAGATAGGGTACTCACGGCAGTCAACTTGCTAAAAAAATATTAATGTACTGATTTTTGATATTAGACACCAACTTATTTAAAAACACCTACCTATAGTAAATAATAATTTTTTTTTTTTTTAAATATTAATGTACTGATTTTTGATATTAGGCACCAGCCGTAATAAAATACAATGCAACATACTTTGCTTCTCAAAATATTTTGAATTCATTGAGTAAACTTGACAAAGAATATGATGTTCCAGTTCCAACTATTCAATCAAATGTTTTAAGAGAACTTGATATACTCTTAAGTAATTTAAAATTAAAGATCAATGGTGATATTGATTTATTTGCTGCTACTGTTAAAGTAAGTACCTATAAATTTTTGTTCCAATACTACCAGTGTTAAGAAAAAGCTCATTAATTGTGTTCGCTTTCATATTTGGCAAACAACACTCACTTATATCAAGTAGATTGTGAACAAAATTCATGTTGTTTTATTTTTAGGCTGGTATCTATCAAAAAATTCATATTGTTTTACAATATTTAAGATTTATTTGAATCTTTGTACAATTTTAAAAATATGTGGTATGAACTAAATGTATACTAAATTTGGTATATTTTATTTTGTACATATGTTTTATAATTTTATAATAATAATAATAATAATTTTATAATATTTGTATGGATAACTACAGAGGAAACAATTTCAATTTCAAACTATACTATAAAAAGACAGAAATAAAATATAATGTTTTAAATATATCATATTAACTTTTTTTTTTTTAACCTGGCTTTGATTTCAATACATTTAGTATACCACTACTCATACAGTGATTATATTGGATGTGTTTTATAATTAATTTGTTATAATAGATGATTTAATATTGTACATGCCATTATTACTTTTTATTATATAAGATTTAATATCAGATTAAATATAATATACATCATTACTAAAATTAACTAATGCATCATGCCTGTCTTTTAGTTTAGTTAAAAATACAATTTTAAGATGTACTTTTTAAATTAATTGTATAGGTAATGAACCAAAATGGACTTATGCCTCTTTATGGTACACCATATCTCGGATCAACTATAAACTTATTAAAAACATCAAAAATAATCAAGACATATAATGCTTTTAAAGGAACCCAGCTCAAGTTAATACTTATGTTTGAAAATAAACAAGAAGTCTTATTTAAACCAAAATGGTATGTACATTTAATTAAAATATTATTTTAGCACAGTAATTGTTTTAAATTGTATTATTTATTTATGCGATTCAAACAATTATTATTTTTTAAGAGTGTATAAGTTAGTCTTTATTAATGGTATGTATATGTTTAAGGTATCTAGAGTCTGAGGTTATTGAAGGAAGTGTGTATGCTGGTAAAGATCGTTATAATGGTGAAATAATAGCATTTTATATTTCTCTTATTCTTGGATTTCCACGTGTTCCAATCGTGGTGAAACGAATCTTAGACTCAACAGAATTGCACGAAACAGCAAATATTGGATTAAAAAAAACAATGTATGTCAATTGTAAGTTACCTTCTATTAGTTTTTGTTAACTTAAATGACTAATTTGTATACAAATCTACGTTAAAGAGCCAGAAGTTGATATCTGCAAAAAAAATTGATTTTGGTGTTTTTATGATATCTGTTATTCGAGATGAATATTTTATTGTGTCAAAATATGGTATTTCCATGTACAATATTTAATGAGTAATACAAAATTTTACCAATATACTATCTACATGGATCACGTATAATTATTTATTATTTATTATTTATTTATTATTTATTACTAATTTATGGAGCAAAACCCCATTTACAATCTGTGTATAAATATGACAGTCATTTAAAGTATTTTGATAAATTTAAGAGTATAAGTAATAATTATTAATTATGTATAAATAAGGTGTTTCAAAATGAATAAGTGAATTTTATAATAAGTGTATGTAACTAGAAAAAGTACAAATAAAAAAATATATAGAGTATAAGAATAAAGTAAAATAAAGACAAAAATTACAATATTACAATAATATAATAATACTAGTTCACAGTACTCTTAATCGCTAATATATAATACATGTTTTTAATATAATTTATGTTACAAAAAAACAGGTTTGAATGTGTAGAATTTCCAATTGACATGAGTATGTTAGTAGGAGAATCTAGGAAATAATTGGTTTTTATGTGTTCTAAGAAAAATAAATGATTGTTTCTAGTTTTAGCAATATTCATTTTAAAACAAAGATTTTCTAGTAAAGGACCACAATCTATTTCATTATAAAGTAATTTAAATAGAAAATTTAAGATAAGGTTATTGTGGAAAACATGATATAATATCAGTTATCAACTTTGTCGTGGGGTTATTTTTGTGACTAAATATGATAAATTAAATCAGTTATCAAATATTGGAATATTTATACATATTTTGCTTTTTAATTATGTATTCTTTTTATGAATACTTTTGGTTATAATAAATTATCAATAAAATTATACTTCTTTATTGTAATAATTAATACAAGTAATATAATGATATGTTATATGGTTTTTGCAAGAATATGTTTTCGGAAAAAGTTGATATCTGCATTGTTTTTTTTTTATTTAATTATTAATTAATCAATTTATGTCTATAATTTATTTTATGAACATTATTATTATTAAAAATAATGTTAAATTTGCAATGAAAAATAAAATCATATTTTCTCTAATTTTCAAACTGAACCTCACATTTAATTACTTTTGATTTTTTATAAAATTAAAAAGGTACGTCCTCAAAAATTATCATTTTGCATATATCAGCTTCTGGCTCTACCGCAGAAATATATAATTTACTTATTTAACTTATAATAGTAATAAAATAAAACCAAATCTAATTAGTTTTTACTTTTCATTACATAAGAACTGAAATAATTTAATAATGGTAATATATTTTTAAGTATATTATTTTTATTATTACATCTTCTTTGTATATACTATCAATGTAATTTTGAACTTGTTTAATATATATTTTTTGGTGTAATAAGCAACAACCAAGGAAACATGTGTGTATGGCAAATGTTATTATTGTAAACCCGAAGATCCAGTATGTACAAAAAGTGAACGTCTAGAAGGAGCAGCAATATTTCATCTGCCATCAAATATCAAGCTTAAACAACATTTGCATCCTTGGAGAAGGACATATATTGAAAACAAAAGAGCAAGGTTTAAAATATACTTTTTAAAACTATAAAATTAACACTCACTCATTATATTTAATAATGATTGAAAAAAAATATGACTTTCAATGTCATTTTCACTTTTAATTGTTGAATACAAGTGTTTTATTGATACCAAGTTTATTAAACAAATGTTGACTGTAATCAGAAACTTAACAGAGACACAGAGTATTAGTATTACAGTTAATTAATTACATACTATAATTTATTGGTTCTCAAACTTGTGTTTTGTTGAACCCTAATATCTGTAAAACAAATAGTTTATAGAAATATTATACTAGTAACTATTATTTAGGTGAACTTTTTTTTCCAAGTTCTAAGTAATGGAACCTTTAGGTTCTGCGCAACACACTTTGGGAATCACGGCTATAATTAATCAATGGTATTACTTATAAGTAGCCAAGTAGGCCTGGATTTAAAAATGGCTAAAAATTGGTATAAAAAATTTATTTTACCGCAATAATGCCCTTTAAAATTGACATGTAACATTTTTTTTTTTTAATGCAATGTAAACCTTCCTAATTTAAAAATAATACACTTTTACAATACATTTAAAATAATTTACTAAACAATTATTTTAAAAAAAAAAAAAACCAAAATTTGATGAAAATTTGATTAGAATTTCAGTGTTTATAAATTAAAATCACGCTCTACAAATCTTACTACTGCATACATGTTTTTCCATCCGTATATTCTTAAGTGGGTAAATAGAATAAAAAAAGATATTTCCCCCCTCCTACCCCCTCACCACTTGAAGTCGAATCGAATCCGCTTCTGAAGTCGTATGATACACAAAGATGCTTGTTATAATGTTATATTGTATTGAAACTAACAAAAACACTGGATCAGTGAAAGGGATTAGTACTTGAGTATGTACAATAAATTGATTTAATCATTTGTTTCAGATGGGAAGACGATAATGATTACTGTGATAGTATAAAATCTAACTATAATTCTGAAAGAATCTTAGATTTTATTGATGTATCTATTTTTGATTTTATTATTGGAAATGGAGATCGACATAGATATGAAGTTGTGGAACAATTTAATAATACTATTCTTCTCATTGATAATGGAAAAAGGTACGAAGGGTTCATAATTAATAATTATTATAAGATAAACTAAAATATCTAAATCAGTTGTTTCTAACTTTTTACACTGACTGAAATTACTATACATCATATTTGGATCACCAATTACGTTAAAAACAATTCTTAGTTGCTGAAAATGGTCAAGATTTTATTAAAAACGGATGCTACCAGTGGCGTATCATTGATTGTGTTGACCTTAGAATTTTATCAAGATTAATAAAAAAATAAAAAGTGTAAAAAAAGACATATTGTATTTTGTACTTAGTCTTCCCCCCCCCCCATACAAAATTCCTGGATACGCCACTGGATGCTACTTATTTTTCTTGTTAATTTTCTAAACAAATTACTTTATAATTCCAAAAATGATCTTCAAATTTCCAAAGTTCAAGTTTTGTTCCATTTTTCAATAGTGTAGCATGTAATTTTTCAAACAATTTTACTGCTTACTTAAGATGTTTTTCAAGAAAATAAAACACTATGTTATATTTAAACCTCCTTTCAAATAATGCTAACTTTTTTATATCATTACATTATTAATACTTCTAAAACTGAGTAAATAAACGCCTAATTTGATCTAATATTTTGTGTGATTTAATTCTTATTTTAGCTTAAAATAGAAAAATTGGCTGAAATTTGATACATGATTTAGATAGATGAAGTGGCCTTTTATAGATAGATTAATTATATATAAAATTCTCAGTTTGCCACAGTTTAGTATTGTAGATTCAGCCATATGGATACAGAATACCAATTATTGATTTTAATATTTTTATCTAACATCTAATCTAATGTATAGATACTGTGTCTTATGTATTACAATTTAAAGATACATAAAGCTTCACTGTTTATATTTGTTCTTGTGCTTAGTATTAATAATAATAAAAAATGTTTTAACAGTTTTGGGAATCCTTACAAGGATCACATTGACATATTGGCGCCACTTTATCAATGTTGCATGTAAGTTTAATTATATGATATAGAGTATTGGCGTAGTTACCTAAATCTATTGCTATAATACAATAAAGCTATATAATATAAGATATTTATATTGTATCAATAATATTTATGTTATATGTATATATGTATATTTACTACTCATTGTGTTTGTTTAATGTTATGATCAGAATCCGTCTGAAGACATGGGAAAGACTTAAGTCAATTAAAGGCGGCACATTCACAAACATATTACAAAGTATGCTGGACGTGCATGAAACCTTATCTCTTCTTACTCTACCACATTACCGCGCACTCGAGCGACGACTAAAAATTATTTATGCTACTGTTGTTATGTGTCAAACAAAATCAGATCGATCAATTCTCAAATGATTTTAATGACATTGTTCAAATCCAATATTGTTTTTAATTTTTTATTGTCTTACTGTAATTGCGTTTACAGATATAGATTGTGAAGTATTTTGAAATTTCAAATCTTGGACCAGAGCTACACAATCAATTTGAAATTATATTAAAGTATCAGATATCAATGATTTAAAGAGGTCTCTTACGGAACTATGTATTGCACAATCTTTTAAAAACTGATCAATATAATAACCTACAATAATATTAAATGTAGCCAGGTAATTAATATATTAAGCTTATAGCGCTATTCACTTAAAATACAAAAAAAACTTGGTTGTTGCTACTTACCAAAGGTAGGCGAGTAAGCTTACTTGAGTTTGTAAGTTAAGAATGTTACTCTATTAGTTAAAAAAAAGATTTGATCAACCTAAGACAAACAAATTGTGATGGTAAAAGTTTTTATATGTATGTTAATAAATAAATATATAATTCAATTTAATTCCTTTGTATATAACTTAGTTATATATATTTATTTATTAGTAAAAATCTTATTAGTTTTCTGTTTTGAATCAATTAGCTTTAATTTACTGTCATGATTTGTACATATTAGATTTTATAAAAAGTTTTTAGTAAAAGTGCAAATAATATATTTTTCAGGTTTTACTGACTAGGATTAGTATATAACCACAATGCTTGGTACATTTTCAACCATATAAAAATAGATTATATTGTTGACTTCAAATAGTTTTGCTAAAGCTTCTTACCCACTTCCCTGTAATGTTGTGTAAATGCTATGTGGTATTCTTGCTTACATCCGTCTAAGTACATTTACTTTTGCTTATCGTTAAATTAATTTTGTGAAGGTTATCGAAGTCAGTACGTTTACATTACAAAAACTTGTTTTATAGGCAAAACCCTCATTCCCTTTAGAATTGTACGATTTGTTAATATTTTTTTTTTATTTAATTAAAAAGAACATTTTGCAGGTTGCATCAAACCCGATTTTCATAAAATTATAATATTAGCTAAAATTTATATTTGAATAATGCACAATGTTTATTTTTCTGTCACTATTTAAAGTACAATGAGAATTCGGGCTTTCATCTAACCTGCCAAAAGTTCTCGTCTTTAAGATTAAAAAAAAATAATTATAATCTCACATATCAACGAGGCGTGAGAGTTTTTCCTGTGAAGTAATTTTTTTCTGATATAATAATAATAATCTTCTAAATAGGTATCTGGCATTATATTAGTGGAAAGTATTATAGTTAAAATAGCAACTAAAAACAAAATGTAATTTTTTAATTTTTCTATTTCCTCCTCATTATGAAGTTACCTAATTTTCAAAAGTAAATTCTTAAGCTTTCATGAACCTAAAACTTGGTTTTAGTTTATTTTTAAATACACCTCTTACTAAGTAATATCTTAGGTATTCAATTTATACAGTTCCAAAGTTTCAATCGCTTTAAACATTTTTATCTCCTTTACATATTGTTGTATACTAATACTTTCAATGTTTTATTCAACCTCATTATTTCTGATATAAAATAAAGCTTTGGATTAAAAAAGATTGTAGATTTTCTTTAATTTATATGCAGGTGTATTTTGGTGTACTTTCATAAATCTTTTAATGTATTTTACATGGTACTTACTTTTTCCTATTACTGTAAGAAATGTTGGCTTTATTTTTATTTCTGCTACATTGTTTCACATTGTACATTAATAATTTTAAGTCAGAGTTTATGTTGCCTGTTCAGGGCCTAATGCTTCTTGGAGGTTGCCAGTTATTTCGAGGTTGGCTCTAATGTTACTGTAGTTTTGGCGGTGGCAAATTATGTGTTTGAGTGTGAGTATTTCTCCGGGTGTATGGAATTCATCTGGTTCCGCAGGTATCTGGGCCCTGTGGATTGACCATGTGTGGCCTAATTGGAGTTTATTTAGAGTTGCTTCCTGTCGTTTGTATTGAGTAACGGTTGTCCACGGAATGGTGGTTTTTATTTCATTCAGTTTAGTGAGTTGGGTTGACCACATATTGTGTTGTCATTGATTTAGAATGTAATTGTTGGTGAAATTATTAATTTCCTGAAGTGAGAGTATATGAAATAAGTGTGAGTCAGAGGAAGTAATAGCACGGTAATAGGACGTGGTTATCTGCTAATTAATTTAATTGGATTCTGCACGACTTGGTATCCAAATCATGAAGATGGTCTGTGCCTTAAATTCAAGGGATGATATTTGGAAGACATTTTAGATGCTGATTATTAGAGTACTAAGTGAGTTACATAGTATAATGGCCCTTGTTGAATCTAATCTTACTACAAATCCTTTCCGCATAAAAACTAACAGCGCACAATCTGTAATTCCTTGCCAATACTGACTTGTTTATAAAGCATTCTACTACTTAAGAGGACGCTACACAGATATTTGTTTTCTCTGTTTTACAAATGCATAACATACCAAATTTACTCTCAGTGGGTTTTTTTTTACGATAGTTCAGTTTTTAAGTGAGTTATGATCATTTTTAATTTACACTATATTATATACACATAACTTATTAAAAAATTGAGCTTTTGTAAAAAAAACCCCATCCAAACACAGATAATGTACTTACCATCAAGTTTCATAATAGATCAATTCACTAGAATTTTTAAACTAAGCTAAGACAAGCTAAACGCATTTTCCTGAGCTTAAATTTGGTATGTTATGTACTTGTAAGATGAAAACAACAAATGGCTTCGTAACGTCCTTTTAATAAATATTCTTTTAAAAACTGATGTTCTGGCGTAAAACGGGACGCCTCTTTTCAGATTAGTATCTAACTATGGTTTCAAATTATGTGTTGTTAAGTTCCATTACATTTTCTTCTTAACCAACTACTAACCACTAGTAAAACTGCAAGTTGTTCGTCCATCACTCTGGCTTCACTAGTTCCATCATACATTATCTGTTCTGTAAGTTCTTTATGCATCCTCAATATTTTTATCATCTGAACTCACTCCTGTTGCATAATATTTAGAACTATAGTATGTTAAATTAAACTTACAAAATATATTGCGCTTAATAAGAGTTACATATATTTTTAAAAATATTTTCTTTTAATTCTTCAAACACTGTTTGTTCTGTACTGTTCCAAGACTATTATTCATTTTTTATTAAAAAAATTCTTAAATGTTTTGTTTTTGTAGCTAGATTTGGAATGAACCTGCCACAGTATTTTATCATACCTATAGGCTATAACAGAGGTGACCAACCTTTTCCCATATTGCGCCAAAAAAATCAATAAAAATAGAGCATGTGCCATAAAAAATTAACATGGCAATTATAACTTTATTCTAGATTCTAATCTAATAATATTATGTTATATTGCATAACATTATTAAGGTTATTTTGACACAATAATTGTTGTATAATATAATATTTAAGAATTTAATGATTTATTTAATATTGAAAAACATAATTTAAGAAATATTTAAAAATTATATGTAATTTATTTGATGCTAGTATGCCATTCAATAACAGAAAATGTACCACAAAAAGTATGTGTGCCACCCCTTTCACTATATTATACTCCTTACTTGCCAAATATATGTATTATCTTTTCTTTGGTACATTTAATTAGAATATTTTCTACTATTCCGACTTAACATATTCAAAGAATCGACTTATCCGTCTTGGTTTTCTATATGAGATTAGGCATATGAAGAGAAGGCTCATGATAAGTGTAAGTTGTTGCTCTTTACCTTGGATTATAATGAATTCTCGTTCCTGTTGGCCAAATTTAGATATGTATCCAAAAAGTGATTTCGGGATTGTATTGAATAGGAAACCTAAGGTGTAACATGCCTTAAAAATAACCAGCTTAGGTTTTGGAAATTTGTGAATATGAAACCCACAAGTAATAATATACCAAAGATTATGTCTTTCAATGTGTTAATTAGTCTGACAGGCCTGAGCCAGTTAATATATTTTCTATTTTTTTCCTCGATTTATTTTTACTGAGCTGAAAACTCTGAGGTAGATAGACTTGGCATCCATTCTATTGATTTACAAATAATGTTGTCTTTTGTGTTGATAACGTTTTTCGTGGTCTATCTGATCTGCTAGTGTTTGGTAAATTTGTCCTAATGGTCTATTGGGTCATTTCTTATAGATGAATGAATTTCCCATTCAATGTTCATGTTATGCTGTGTCAAGTCTGGTTGCCCGTCTCTAGTTTCAAACTATTGGCCTATCCAATATCATTTTTCTAATATTATTTTAAATGTAACCCTACCTTTAGGTAATTGGTATCTTCACGGTGAAGTTTCATCCAGTGCAGTCTACTATCGCCTTTACTCTTTAGCTTAACAGCTTTATATATGGCTTTTTTCAATGTCAATCCTAGCTAGATGTAACTTATACCAAATTTAACAAAGCTTCTGGATCTCTAGATAGTAATGTTTTTATTCCTATTTTTAAAGCATCCAGCATTATGGTAAGCCTCTATTGTCCTGACTCCTGGTTTAAGTTATATATATATATTAAACTATATACCTGTGCTCTATTGTTGACTTTCGTTAGCTACAGATTGATTGGTTTTGAGAATATTGTTTATTACTTAAATCATTTTCTAGTAGTCGATCACCTAATGTTTGTTCTTATTGCCTTGGAAGGACTGTTTCTCTTGCTGTGGTTTGCGTTATTGATCTGGGCAACAAGGTATGTTATAACCTTTAACCCTGGTTTCCATATCGATTACATGTGCCTCAAGGGCTTTACATCTCTTGAGTTTTTGTGTTTTAGTTAGGCCCACGCAGGGCTGTTGTCTGGAATCCGCAATACATTAAATGGTTCTAGGCAACAAACGTTTTTCTGGTTGTTAAGTAATTATCTCCCTACCCCCAGCCGGGTCACTTCATGATTATACTCCTGTTGCTACTTTTCTGGACATATCTTCTTTGAACAACCATTGGTATGCTGCAGGTATTTAGTTTCTCGGTGGACTAATAAACGGTATCATCGAATCGTATCCTTCCATCACCATTTAACTCAAACAAATTTTTTTATTTTTGTTTGTAATCTTTTGCACCTGTTATAACTTTTTCTTATATTTCTGTTTTTAATTTTTATACCAATTGCTATATGAATTTTGTTATTTGTTCCAATTGTTTTTCACAATAATTATCTTTCATAACTTAGGGCCTAGCCTGTGTATATTAATAAATTTTAATATTTGGTCAAACCATTTGATTTGGGATAGTGTAGATTACCTAGTCAAGAATCAATTTCTTTAAAAAATCTTTAAAGGCTTGAGATGTAAACTGAGCCAAATGGTCAGTATAAGGCACATTGAGAATACTCGTGAACACAGTGAGAATATTGGTTGCAAACAATTTCTTTATATTTATAAGAAATATTATTTCCTCCGATTTTGCATTATTTAACTTTCAAAAATCCAGAATGACATCAAATATAGCAAAAAAATAATATACAGTTAAACACATTTAAGATGCTCCTGTGTATTTTTTCCACTGGTTCCTTGGAGATCTTATTAAATGGGATTAACTGTAAATACTAGGTTGGTTGAGTCATCTTTTAGATTTATCTGTTTTAAGTTTATGCTAATTTATTGTATTTTTTTGGGTAATGGCTTATGTTATACAAGTACCTATATTTAATTATTTTATATATGCAACGCTGACCAAAAGTATTATATTGTAAATGTATTCATTTCTATTTGAAAGTACCTAATTAAATGTGATTATATTATTATCTATTGTTCATGATCTTTCTACATTTATTAATTATTGTTTTATATAGTGCCTAAGTGTATTGTAGTGAATTAAAACTGTATCTACCTATTGTTATTTATTGTGCTACTTATTGTAATATTGTTTTATTGATATATTATTTTTGTTGATTTAAATAGTTAAATAAAAAAATATATTGCAATTATAATACTTTTTATAGTTATTTGTTTATTACTTATTATAGTTTTATATGCAAACTCAAAGCCGTAGCTGGAACATATTTTTGGGCGGGACTTTAAACCAAAACATATATTTTCATAATATAAAAACACAACTTAAAAAAAATGTTGCAGTATACCATATTTCTTAGATAATGACTTACTTAAATCCAACAAAACTTATTTTTAGTGTTTTTATGTCCTTTATGTCGTCTAGTATGATATTAAAAAAAAATTCAATTAACTCGTGAATTACTGATAGATATTACCTATTTAATAATGTAGTATTAATCCGCTTTAAACTCAAAAATGTACTTTCTGGTGTAGCTGTAGATACAGGAAGTTTAACCCACACAACATTTTTATAAGAAATTTTAATAATTGGACATAAATTCTTGTTGTGGATTATAGGAATCCATCATTGCTATCCAAAAATTCAAATTATTTATGACATTTTTTTTTACCCCCCATTTTCTGCTCTGTCGAGTCCAATCAATTTCTAATGAGTGAAACTGGATGATGAATTAATACTAATTAGTAATTGTGTTATTAAAAAATTGTAGAGTATGTTTTAACTAACAATAATTAACTGTGACAGCAACATTTGAATTATAATATTGTATGCCCGCATCAGAATATAGAAGGATTACGTACAACAAACAGTTATTCTAAGCTCAGTTTCATCCAGAAATTTCTAAAATATAACACTAAAAATCAAGTTCAACTTAATGATTACTCAATAAATTTGACAAAATTAAATAAATATATTTGTAAAAAATAATACTGGATAAATTGACTGACTGTATAAAAAATATGCTATGCAAAATTATAACAAAATAAAAATTGTTCATAATTATATAAATTAAATACAATAAAAATATAGAAGTCTTGTATAAGTAGAGTTGTTCTAGAATTCCCAAGAATCAAGCCAGCGTAATCCAAACATTGTACTATTTTGTTCTGTGGAAACTGGTCCTGACATACCATAAGCAAGAGGAGAGTATAGATAAAAACTAAAAAATAAATAATACACACTTAAAAAAGGTAAATTTAAATTAATTTAATAATAATTACCTATAAATGGCCGATGCATAGATGAGTCCAATGAGTCCATCATAAATTGTTTTCCGAATAAGGGTTGGCTTGGGTGTCTTAATTATTTCCAATAAATAACTGATAGTTACACCTATGTTGTATCATTTATTACTTTTTATGGTCTATATATTTTTTCTTATCTTACACTAACCTGTTAACATTGAGCTATATAAAAACGCTGAAAAATAGTGATGGAAGTACAAGACTCTACCCATTGCGTAAAACGGTATATAATGTAGTCCCCATCCAATAAATAGCCAGTTACAAGTAGTCAGTAACTGTTCTTTAGAATCTGCAACTATATTAATTTAAAAAATATTTCATTTATATAGAAATGGAAAATTTAGTTTTATGCTCACCAGCTTCATTTTGATTACTCCTGCGTTTATTGATTATGGCTTTCCAAATTGAAATTAAATTGTACAGTACCATAACCACTATATTTCCCCACCATATAACTGGGTTTCCAAGCAAATAAATTTTATAATTGTTACCAGAAAAGAATTGCCCCTGTAATATTATAATTTTATATTATGTATATATAAATATGGAATTAAATGTATAAAATGAAAACCTTATAGTTTATTGGCCATTGCCATGGCTTAGATGTTACTTCTCCTTCCTTTGGTTTAAGACCAGCATTCCCTTGGAACATAACAGCATGTGATTCAATGAATCTGGCAAAGAAATTTGGGGAATATACTTCAAAACTGACATTTGGAACTAAAATAAATAGAAAAATAATATATGAGTGATTGTTTCTTTTTTTTTTTAGATCAAAATATACAAATTTGTTAAATAAATTCTTATGAAGTTGTATTTAACTTACGCTTAGGATTTATGTTATCCTCGACATTCCAATATGAATTTGTATCCCTTAGATTTGGACTACAAGTGACTTCATGCTGTTCAAATGCCCTTAAAATAAAATAAAATAAAATAAAATACAAACAATGTTATATATAAAGAAAATAGATACTTATAATTTGGGAGTGGATTTAAATGTTCTAGAAAAAAAAAAATAGGACATTTGAGTGCGCCACGCTCTGCACACCCAGTTTTTGTGATTGTATGATTATTATTAAAATATAGCATTGCTCAATGAAGTATGGAAAATTAACAAAAACAATTTGTAGCATATTAAAAATAGACAAAGGTAAATAATTACTCTGCACCTATTTATAATCTATCATTCTTATAATTTTGAAAATAACATCGTTATACTCAGTGCTACGAGAGAAGTAAGGCGCTAAGCGCATGCAGGCTGACGGCAGCGACCATTCCGAGGACCCGTCTCCCAAACTTTAAAACATGATACATAATAAAGGTACTGTTTCCAAGGCGCGACAGGCCGCAGAAACAAGTCATCGCGACCTATTTTGTATGGAGTGGTTTCCAAGACGCGACATGTCGCAGCGCCACAACTTTTTCGATCAGCGTTTTTGAACGTGAATTTCTCCTGAAAGTGAGCCCCCTACCCACAAATGGAAAATCCACAAATTAATTGCTCAGATATTTAGCACGCAATTCACACGAATTCGCAAGCCTGGGTTTTAAATTTGCACGACCTTCCTTCATCCCGAAAAAACAAAATTCATAGTGGGGGGAGGGGGCAGCAACACGTCTCGCCAGATATTTGGTACATAGTTGAAGCATTCAAGAGGTCAAAAGTAAGAAATGCAATTTCCAATTAAAAAAACAAGGTGTTTAAGTGGATGTCACTCTGCTGTACAGTAGGATACAAGTGGGTAACCATATGGATGGTGTTAAATTTGAATTCAATGATATAATATCATTGTATAAGAAAAAACGATCCTGAGCGAAAACGGTGAGTCAGCTTATGATATTAGTAAGTATATTTGATGATATTAAGGTCAATAAAGTAATTTATATATTACAAACTATCTTTAAGTGGAACCTTGTTTTAAATTTTCAATCCTTAGATAAAAAATTTGAACATTTTGTACATTTTTAACTACAAAATAATTATTACATTTTTAATGTGATAAATTTTTCAAAATTTGAATTTTAAATGCTTATAAAAAAAATTGTACCAATGTAATTATAATATTTTTCAACTTCTATTGTAACAATATATCAGGAGCCTTGCATTAAATTTTCAAGATTTTTTACTCTAGAAATACAATTTTATTGACAATTATAGAAAAAAAAATTGAAAATTGACAATGTCTGTAAACAGCTCAAAAAGAGTCAAATTATTTTCAAAATTATATGGTGTGTAGAAAATGCTAATATAAACATTTAGTGAAATTTTCAAGTATCTACAGTCATTCATTTCTTAATTACAATAAAATAAGAAAATCGTTACATGAGAAATCGAGTGAATATCAAATGTTGAAAAAATATAAATTTAAAACGCTCATAAAAATGTAGTTTGATTTACTTGTAGACATATTTTTTTTTTTATAATGGTAGACAAACTTATGAGGAATCTTTTATTACATTTTCAAATCTTAGATTTAAAAAGAACATTTTTTATGAATTTCTAACTCAAAATAATTTGGAAATTTTCGTCATTTTTACGTATTTTGTCAATATTTGAACTTTAAATGCTTCTAAAAAAAATTGTGACTATGGATTTTTAATTTCTTTTCATCTGCTTTTGAAGCAATATATTAGTAGCATTCTATTTAATTTTCAAACTTTTTTAACCAACAAATAAAATTTCATTGATATTTATAGAAAAAAAAAGACTAAAGAAAATGGAAACTGAAAGTGTCCGTAGACAGCTCAAAATAAGTCAAAATATTTGGAAAATGGCATGATGTATAGATAATGCTAATATAAACATTCAGTCAACATTTCATGCACCTATCAAAAATAAAAAAATAAAAAACACACATCATTGTAAAATCAATACATTCCGCTCAGAATCTAAAAAAAAATCCTAATAGGATAATAATCTAAAAAGGAAAAATCCTTAGTAGAAAAAAACTAAACATTAAAAAAACTAAATAGGATAAAAAAACACTGTTGAATAATTTTTGGAATTTGTTGAAAATTTTTTTTCACCAGGGGGCCAATTTCCAATTTTAGCTGACAATATTTTATCAAATATCAATTGTTTGTTTAACTGATTTTTTTATGCTATTTAGGTTTTTAAGATTTATTTTTTTTTCTACGAGGGTTTTTTAATTTAACTAAAATGTTTTATTGAAATCAGTTTTTTATTAAATATAATTTTCCATTCAACCCGTTTTTTTTTTAATTTTCAGTTTTTTATTCTGCTGATTTTTTTATCCTTTTTAGATTTTTATCCCATTAAGAAACTTTTAAAATTTAACTAAGCTCCTTTTATTAGTTTTCAATGTTTTTTATTCTTTTTAAATTAGTGGTCCTTTTAACATATTTTAGATTCTGAGTGAAACGATGAATGTATTGATTTTACAATGATGTGTGTTTTTTTTTTTATTTTTTTATTTATTTTTTTGTGTCTGTGTACACGATAAGTAGTCGAAATAATGCTTCGATTTTCGACTTCAGTATCTTGTTCGATTGGAAAGTGAATATCGTTGGTGCATTGGGGAGGTCAAAATTTAAATTTCCCAGTAGTTTTCAAGAGCGCCGGGAAAAACAACATAAAAATTAAGGAAAAACGGGAATTTTTACGCAAAATCTGTTTTCGAGAAAATTGAATTTGGTTTTTGGTGTAACTTTAAAACAAATGACCGTAGGTACATGCAATTTTCACTGGTTGTTTATATTTGCATCTTCTATACACGATAACATTTTCAAAATATTTTGATTTATTTTGAACAGTTTAGGGACATTTTCATTTTTCGTTTTTTTTAGTTTTTTTTCTAGAAATATCAATAAAATTTTATTTGTTGGTTGCGAAAGCTTGAAAATTTAATAGAAGGCTCCTAATATATTGTTTCAAAGGCAGATGAAAAATATTAAAAATCCTTAGTCACAATTTTTTTTTATAAGCATTTAAAGTTCAAAAATTGACAAAATATGGAAAAATCACGAAAATTAGCAAATTATTTTGAGTTAAGAATTCGTAAAAATTTTCTTTTTAAATCTAAGATTTGAAAATCTAATACAAGATTACTCATAAGATTGTCTACCTTTATCAATAAAAAAATCTCTACCGGAAAGTCAAATTAAATTTTTATGAGCGTTTGAAATTCAAATTTTTACAACATTGGATATTCACTCGATTTCTCATGTGGCAATTTCCTTTTTTTGTTGTAATTAAAAAACGAATTACTGTAGATACATGAAAATTTCACTGAATGTTTATATTAGCATTTCCTATACACCATACAATTTTGAAAATATTTTGACTCTTTTTGAGCCGTTTACGGACATTTTCAGTTTTCAATTTTTTTAGTTTTTTTTTTCTATAAATATCAATTAAGTTTTATCTGTTGGGCCAAAAAGTGTAAAAATTTAATACAAGGCTCCTGATATATTGTTACAATATCAGTTGAAAAATATTAAAAATACATAGGCACAATTTTTTTTTATAAGCATTTTAACATCGAATTTTGACAGAATTTTTAAAAATCTCGAAAATTATTAATCATCGTAATTAATAAATTATAAAATGTTCAGTTTTTATAGCTAAGGATTGAAAATTTAAAACAAGATTCCACGTAAGTAGTTAATTCTCTTACCGAAAAATCTAAAAAATATACAATCACAGTTTCTTTTTATAGTAATTTTATGTTCAAATTTGGACGAAATTACATATTAAAAAACCTAGTTATTTTGTTGTGATTATATAATATTATTCGTGGGTACCTACTTGAAACTTCTAAAGTGTACTATTATATATCTATGATAGTATCAGGGTTTGTTATTGATGTTGATGTATAACGTGTTATAAGTACCTAATGGATATTGTGATAATGTGATATGATTAATTTGGAATTTATTATAGTTCAATTTTTTTTTTAATACCATAGATATGTATATAATTTGTCTTAAACCTAGACTGACATACCGTCTTCGCTCAGAATCGTTTTTCTTATACAATGATATTGTATCATTGAATTCAAATTTAAAAGCATCCATTATACAGTGACCCACTTGTAACCTACTGTACAGCAGAGCGACATCCACTTACCCACCTTTTTTTATTTAACTTTACTTCTTTTATTGAAATTAGATTTTTGTGTTAAATACTATTTTTCATCCAACTATTAAGGTTTTTTTATTAATATGTATTCTTTTTTTTTATTAAATATCAATTTTTAATCCTTTTTAGATTTTTTCCTATTAAGATATATTGTTTTCTCTTGTGGTTAGGTTATATAGTAAACTATTTTATAAAGTTTCTCATTCATAATCATTATATTATAATAGTTAAATCAAAAAAATAAGTTACCATTTAGGCAATTGCTTGTTGCTTGTTGTGAGCACACAATGTTGAAGAACATGAACTAATTTGATTTTACTTGTTACTGCTGAGACAACATTACCATCTGAACCACCATCGACAAATACTTTCCAAACATCATTGTAATCACCAGTACCATTCTAAAAAAAATTTTATTGAGAATTAGTAATTATTATATACTTTTATGAAAAAATGATTAACCATACAACTTGTATTAATAACTAATACATTACTTTTTTCTACTCAAATATAAAAATATTGTTTTTAGTGGTATTACACTATTACCTCTCCATAACCGGTGACTTGATAATGTTTTTTTGTTATCGGAGCCGGTTCGCGGTGTGAATGTAAATTTCGCCTTGTTGGTACATGTTCCAGTCTTATCATATCTCCGTGTTTTATATATCTTACAGTGTCATTGAAACTTATTTTTTCATCATCATTGTAAAGTTTTACTAACCATCGATTGTTTTCGTCCTTATGCGCATAAGTAGTAATCTAATTGAAGAAAAATAAAAAATCTATTAAATATGCACAATTCCATTAAATGTAATACAATCATAGACTATTTGAGTTTGTAAAGCAATTTTTAGGGATTAAAAATTAATAACAGTTAAGTAATCATGCATAAGTAAAAACGTTCTTAATTATTACATTTACAATAGATAAATTTAATAGTAAAATAAATGAATTTGTTGTCAGTTCTTCTAAAAAATGTATTGTATCCAAAAATAAATTATAAAAATCACAAAAATATAAAGCTTGGATTACTTATGGACTTCTGGTTTCAATTAATAATAGACATAAATTATATTTAAAAAAACATAAAGCTCCTTTTGATATTACACTAAAAAAACATTACATTAAATACAGGAATTTATTAAATTCATTAATCAGAAAATCTCGTATTTTATATTACAAAAACCAATTTTATTTATCTAATAACAATATTAAAAATACATGGAAATTAATAAATGAAGCAACATATTCAACGAAAAACGAGGAAACTCCTATATATTGTATTGAAAATAGTTCTACTAAATCTCTTTTAACTGATAAAATTGACATTTTAAATGAACTAAATGATTATTATGTTAATGTCGGTAAAAATATTTTTGACGATATTCAAATAATTAATAAATAATTTTGAAAAACCAAATTGGAATGATATGAATAAAAACTGCCATATTAATAATTCAATTCTCCTGGATCAGATTGATCCTTCAGAAATTTCTAGGTTTATAAAGAAAATACCAGATAAATCCTCATTTTATAATAACGGTTTATCGAACTTTATTTTAAAGAAAACAGCTGATTCTATCTCACTTCCATTGTCAATTATTTTTAATAAATCGTTTAGTACAGGTAAATTTCCTTCTAGCTACAAAAATACTATAATCATACCACTTTTTAAATTTGGTGATAGAAAACAATGTGGAAATTACAGACCTATTGCTTTAACTTTAACAGTTTCAAAAATATTTGAGAAATGTATAAAATCAAGATTAATGTCGTTTTTGGACAAACATAATTTTTTTTCATCAAATCAATATGGTTTTCGCTCAAATATGTCAACTACTGATCCTTTATCTAAAACTTCTAATTTTATTCATCATAATTTAGATAACAAATTTGAAGTTCTTGGAATTTTTCTCGATTTTAAAAAAGCTTTTGACTCCGTAAGTCATAATTTGTTACTTAAAAAATTAGAATATAATGGTATAAGAGGCAATGCTCTCAATTTAATTAAATCATTTATCTCTGGCAGACCTCAACAAGCAAGAATAAACGGATTACTTAATGATGTAAAGACAAATTGTTTCTCAGTACCTCAAGGTACAGTACTTGGCCCTGTCTTATTCATCATAAACATAAACGGACTTTTAAATATAAAGCTTAATGCTGAAATTTTTTGTTATGCAGACTATACAGTTATTCTGATTAAAAGTCATGACTATGAAAATTTATATAAAACAGCTAATGACTGTCTATCTGTAGTAAAAGACTGGTGTGATAATAATAATTTACAGCTAAATTTATCTAAATCTAAATATATTGTCTTTAATATTACAAATAGTTCACATATTAAAAACACTGTGTGTACACTCTTATAAATGTAAATATCTAGATAACCCTTGTGAGTGTTTACCTTTGGATAGAGTTTATTGTATTAAATATCTTGGAGTAAAATTAGACCATAGACTAAAATTTATTTAACATATTTATCATGTAAATAGTATTCTTAGAAAATTATTATATAAGTTCCGATTGCTCAAAAATATGTTAGATATTAAAACTCTTAGAATTATCTATTTAGCTCTTGTACAATCTGTTTTCTCGTACAGTATTTCAATATGAGGATGTACATACTCCACACATACAAATGTTTTATCTACTACAATTAATTTAATGATTAAAACTATACTTGGAAAACCAAAATTGTATCCAACTTGTTCAATTTACTTAGAGTTGAAAGTTAGAACTATTTTTCAAGTTTATGAACGGGCGATTTTATTGTATATATTTAAAGTAAATATAGGACCATTTCAGCCTTTGCATTGTTATAATACTAGAATAAAAAACAATTGTAATTTAATTATTCCACAAAATAATACTAATTTTGGAACACAAAGTCTAATGATTAAAGGAATTCTGTTACTTCGTAAATATAATATTAATTTAACTAATTTTGATAATTTTAATAAGTATAAGAAACATATTAACACTATTTTATCTTGGTTGTAAATGTCCACTTTTTAGTTCAATGATAATTTTAAGTAACTACTCTTAATGTTGAATTTTTTTTCTTTCTTTTTTTATTTTATTTGTATACTTTTATAATACTCATAACATGAACCCAGCTCATCCGTCTACAAGCATATCTATGCTTATTGGATGAGATTGCAAACCTACCATAATTTGTTTGTTAATATTGTTTTATTTTGTTTGTTTGCTAAATAAATATTATTATTATTATTTATTACTTAAAAATTTCGAATACTTTTTTGTGATTAATTTTACTGTTTGTAATACAAGTTTTACATACTATACAAAACTGAATTCATGACACATTAACCAATAATCAATATGCTATGATATATTTAGTAACCACAAAAACATTATTAATGACTACTTTAAGGTCAATGAGTGTATTAAACTTATCAAAGTCTATGGTTAGTAACATGAACTACAATAAACTACATAACTCACCTACTATGCCTTTTCCCACTTACCATAGATGATAATATTATACCAATTTACACTATGATATTATATAATTTCCAAGTGTCCAACAAGTCAGAGGACTAAATCAGATTAAATGAAAAAATGCAAAAATAAACTTTTAACTTGTGTTTCAAAATGCATTAACTTATTTAGTGTTTTAGTCTCAAATTTCTCAAAAGAAAACCTCTCAAAAGAAGTTCCAGACTATTCAAAGTCTCTCTTCCATATTGGACCTATGGTTATAATATTAATTAAACTTCTTCTTACCTGTTGTTGCTTGGCCCCAACATTCTCTGGATAAAGATGCCAATGTGAATGTAAATATCCACCACCGGTTCTATGATTTTTTAATGTTACTATTGCCCCAAATGATACATCTAAAATATTATAAAATCAAAATAATATTAACTTCATTCATTTAAAAAAATAATATATTTATGTACACAACCTTTTGGCATACTAGCGTTGTGTAATGAATTTCCTTGTAATTTTGATTGAAAAGCAGAACTATAGAATCCATCGCCATTACCACTTTTATTGAGTATAAATAGATGTATGTAAAAAAATCCAACATACACTAGTATTGGTAAAATTATAAGACAAACAAACCTTGCTACAAAATGTTTCACAGTATAACTCTAAATTAAAAGAAAATAATAATTATGTTAAGTATGATGTAATACATTTAATATATTTTTATATATTACTATTGGCTTTGAAAGTTTTCCAAGTATAAACCATAGATCAACTATTGTCATCAATCCAATAAATGTCACTTGAAATAATCCAACAAACTTAACACATACACAACAGGCCATGGTTACACCAGTAAATATTAACCAAAACCACCAATTAACTCTAAATTCACTAGAATTATTTAAGATAAAGAAATTAATGATGACAAAAAACAAAATTAAAATAAAATATAACTTACGATAAAGCAGCGGAACGAAACTTGCAAATCCCTACAAATGATGCTAACATAAAGAACAACAGAATGGGATCGAGCAAAATATATTGAGTTAATGTTAATGTTCCAACGTCTGGAAAAATAAAATAAAATGTTTAATGGTCTTCAACAATACATTCTATTATAGGTAGGTACATTCAATTCAAAACATTTTCTTAGTAAATTATACTTACCAAATAGTACTAAAGAAGCTGATAAAGTTGCCGCATTTAATGAATGTGTTATTTCCCAAATAGATATAAATGTGAATGGTATTAAAGCTCCACCTAAAATTGTACAAAACTGAAAATAGAGTATTTATTTAAAATTATATAAATTATAGGTAAATAATTTATTTTTATTTGTATAAATGTTTATAAACCTCTCGCATTCCGACGTAATTGACTCCTTCATACTTGTCTCCTGGTTTTTCAAATGGAAAACTACCATTATATCCAGTTAAGACTCCAGATAAAGCTATCAACATCTATACATTTTTTAATTAATTTTAGGTATAGTATATGAATTGTAAAATAAAATTGACACTTACCTTGCCCAATGGAGGATGCACATCAAAAAAAAAAGTTCTATTTATGTACCAACTTCCCATTTTTCCAAAATGTGTTTCATCCCAACTAAATAATTTAAATAATAAGCAATGACAATATTTAACAGAAAATAGAAGTACATACCAGACATGATCTGGCTCGTCCACTTTATGTAATCGAGTCCCAAATGAAAGAACTGTTAATAGTATAAGCAATATCCACCATTTTGAATCCCTAAAATTAAAAATATTTAGATTAATACAATTATGTTTCATTTAGGTATGACATAAATAACATTGCTACACCATAATTGATGCATATTTAATTAAAATTTTTTAATTTTAAAAATGTGTATGGGTGTCTATTACTAATATTTTGTTATACAATAAGAATACTAAAATATTTTTATTCAAATATGTAATATAATAATTTTAAAGCTATGAGGTATCTATGAACTAATTATCATATATCATAGGCTATAAGGAAACGCATAACCATTAATCAATTGCTTGCATTTTTGTACCTATTTGTTTATATTTAATTTTTACATAAAATTGCTTGATTCCGACATGATAATAATTAATTAGTATGCACCTATTTTATTATTAACAAATTTCAGCAATATCAAACACTAATTTTAATTACCTGAAACTTATTTTTCTATAATAATAATTAAGAGTTATGTAATAAACTCCTTAGGTATAGGTTATCGTTGCAAAAAAAAATGTGGGTTATATTAAATACTTACATTAAAAAAACTATACATATGGACATAGTATCTAACTTTATTGTTGACAGATGTCATTTCATTTTAGAAGTGTGATAAGTTGTGCACCAAATTCTAGTACAGCTTAGTACAGCTTATGTCTTATGATCAAGCACATAATATAAGTTTACATATATTATAAATTAATTTTGGTTCCAATCATACACAGTCAATGCGTTATTGGTACTTACTATTGTAATAACAAAAACTTACTATTACCTAAGCACAATTATTCATTCTACTATGTAATACGTTCTGGGTAAAAAATGTTGTTGAACAATTTTAGATAGATACTTACATAATCCTATATTTTAATACCTTTTAAGTTTTGGTTAAACAATTAAGTTAATTTATCGGTACAATAAGTAAAATGAAAGTCGTGCCAGTTAGCCATTGTATATCAGACAATATACAACCAATTATGTCAAACATAAGTAAAATTTGGAACCTACCCTTTGGATTCATCTGTTTGCATTGAATGAACTGCCTTTTTTGTAGTAGGTGGTGTCATGGTTTGTAAGACACAAACTATACTATAAGATTAACTACGAGATTGTTTAAGTTCTAAATAATGTTAACATTTTAAACGATAGGTATGAATTATACTCAATCGTGACACAATATAAAATAATACTTAAATAATATAATAATTAATAATATACAATTTATAAGTAAACAGTAACTGTGGTACGTAGATCAAGCACGTACAATCTAAATGTCAACATTTTAAAATCGTCGCTTATCACACGTCTTGTGATAACGTCATAACGGTACATTGTGAAACGTCACTGTGTATCATCACAGATTACAATACGTCATAGGTACGAAAATATTGTAGTTCATATTAATATTATTACAATTTACAGCCTGTTGTACAAATACGTACAGGTCTGAATTCTGGATACATTCAGTTCACAGTAAACGGGTGACATAAAACGGTTGACGAGCTAATGGAAAAAAAAAACCGGGAAGTCGAACTGCTGTATAGTAGGTTCCGAGAGCAACTCGTCACTGATCGGTACCTACGACCTACCTATACCACCTACTTATGCGATTAGGTCACCGTAGTCTAAAATGGATGAATATGTTAAATTTATTGAATTAAATAATAATAATAAACCATTATTGTATACCGTAAAACGATTCTGAGCGGAGTCCATACTGCAGACTTATAAAACTAAAAAACACTAAGACTAGGTAGGTACCTACAATCTTTACCTATCTAGTATCTAAATGTTATTTGATAAAGGTAGAAAAACTTACGAGGAACCTTGTATTGCATTTAGATACCTTAGATTTAAAAAGAAAAAAATTTATAAATTCTTAATTCAAAATAATTTTCTAATTTTCGTGATTTTTTCGTATTTTGTCAAGATTTAAACTTAAAAATTTATAAAAAAAACTGTGACTGGATTTTTAATATTTTTCAAATGAAATTGTATAACAATAAATTAGGAACCTTTTATTAAATTTTCAAGGTTTTTTACCAAACAAATAAAATTGTATAAATATTTATAGAGTAAAAAACTAATAAAATTGGAAACTGAAAATGTTCCTAATCAGCTCCAAATAAGTCAAAATATTTTGAAAATTTTATGGTGTATAGAAAATGGGAATATAAACATTGAGTGAAATTTTCATGTATGTAAAGTTATTTGTTTTTTAATTACCTACAACAAACTATAAGGAAATCGCTACATGAGAAATTGAGTGTAAAACAATATCCAAAGTTGTAAAAACACTAACTTAAAACGCTCATAAAAATTTAATTAGACTTTCTTGTAGACATTTTTATATTATATTTTAATATTTTAGTGAACAGTTCTTGGATATACGGTAATTTGTTTTAGAGTTACATTAAACTCTGACTTTTTTGTCGAAAAGCGATTTTGAGTAAAATATCTCGTTTTTCCTTAATTTTTATGTTGTATTTCCTGGTGATTTTGAAAACTATTGGAAATATTTACCTCCTAAATTGTTTACCTTCCGTAGCACCAACTAGATTCACTTTCCCATCGAACAAGATACTTTTGAAAAAATTTGAAGCAGTTTTACTGCCCCAAACGGTAGTGACAGACACAACAATTAAAAAATTAAATAAAAAACACACATTATTGTAAAATCAATACATTCATTGCTCCGCTTAGAATTTAAAATTGTAACTAAAGTTAGAAAAACTACAACCTATAGATATTTTAAATATTGTACACACAACTTAATGGCTTTGATAATCGACCAATAAATATATAAATTAAAATTAATATATTAACATAATAACATCTTATATAAAATATACGATGTTAATCAAAAATAAAGTATTATTTTACAGATAGAAACAGAAACATATTATTAGAAAATAACTGGGTAGCGTGTCAGCGGTGTGCCTCCATTGAATTTCGTTTTTCATATGCTGCAATATATTGGTTTATCATTAAATTCGAATTTAACACATCCAGTACAGTAGGTACCTATGTAACCCACTCAATTAAGTATAAGCTAACCCCTAAACTAGGGTTGCCATACGTATACGACAAACACACATGCCACTTGATTCATAACTTCGGCCCCTCTCGTCACAATATACCACTGAACCCACCAAATGTCCCCATATAGTGTAAACAGAATTATTTTTACTCTTTATTCTAGAATAGACACGATTATTATTAAATATAATTCATATATTTCTTGTGCGTATATGCCAGCTGTATGTGTATAGTTGATCTTTACTGATAACAAAATGAGGGATTGCTTTAGATACCTATTTCATGATGACACCACCCAGTGTGATATTACAACAATATCCATATCCATAATCTGTATAGTCAAAATGTCACCCCTAATTCTTCGCTTGAACATTCAAATTGACGCCAAGTGCGGACGCGCCGCTTGCATGTACCCGTGACAAAATTGAAAATATATTTTGTCATGGTTGCCGCACTCCAGGTCCTGCAGGAGCAGCTGCTATAGCGGCTTTAAAATATTAATATAATACGTCTATTATGCATAAATATGGTATCTATAAAAATACATTTACAATAATCATTGTTTTATATATCTTATTATAATAGAAGTATTCTGCTAGACGTGTATAACTTTAGACATTAGTAACTTCTACATAGACATATATACGATATACCCAATTTTGACGTCTCGTAGCCTTGATATGTTTACTGGGCCGATATTATATCATTAACTTTGATGATTGAAAGTTTAAATTAAGAGAGTTCATCAATTATATAGGTAAACAATTGTTCATGTTTAACACTCTTCAATAGATTTATTATCGATTTGATTATATGAATAGGTAACTACTTCTAGGAAAACTACTGGCATATAATGTTTTATGCTACTGGCGTAATTTCCAAATGGAAACAAACGTACCTACCTATGTAAATATGTAATAGTTTTTAAAGGTCAATAAATCATTTATAAGTTGTATATGACGTTCACATAAGATAATATTATACTTTTAAGTTACCAAAAGTTTCGGTTTAGGACCTTCTAAAAAGTACTCCCAGAGTCAGGGGTCCTCGGACCCCCCCACCATAGGTGTATTTTGGAAAAGGTTTGGTTTTTGTACAACGTTTCTGAAACTCGAGATTTGTTGAGTTTAGAGGTAGGTGATCAAATTCGGCTATTGGGTCGAGACCACAGGAGCCGTTTTTCTCCATCTTTTGGGGCTTCGAAAGTTAAAAATTTGCACTTTTCGGGTTTTTCAGCTCGAACACTCAGTTTTTGGGCACGGTGAGCCGTTTTGTAGTCGGATGTTATAGACGACTTTGCGCCGTATCGATGGGTACCAAGATCGAGGTCATCCGACTTTTGGTCCGGGAGTTATGATTTTTAAATTTTCAGTCCTTAGCTATAAAAGTTGAAAATTTTATACATTTTTAACTACAAAATAATTATTAAATTTTAAATTTGATAAATTTTGTCAAAATTCGAACTTTCAATGTTTATAAAAAAAAACTGTGCCATTATATATTTTTAATATTTTTCAACTGCTATTGTAACAATATATCAGGAGCCTTGCATTAAATTTTCATGCATTTTTACATAACAAATAACATTTTGTTGATTGGTATTTATAGAAAAAAAACTAAAAAAATTGAAAACTGACAATGTCCGTAAACCACTAAAAAACAGTCAAAATATTTTCAAAATGTTATGATGTATAGAAAATAAAAATATAAACATTCAGTAAAATTGTCATGTATATACAGTTATTCGTTTTTGAATAACAATAAAATAACAAAACCGCTACACGAGAAATCGAGTAAATATCCAATATTGTAAAAATATGAATTTCAAACGCTCATAAAAATTTAATTTTATTTGCTTGTAGACATTTTATTTTTTTAATAAAGGTAAACAAACTTATGAGGAATCTCGTATTACATTTTCAAATCTTAGATTTAAAATGAAAAATTTTTATTAATTTTCAACTCAAAATAATTTGCTAATTTTCGTGATTTTTCGGTATTTTGCCAAGATTTGAACTTTAAATGCTTATAAATAAAAACTGTGACTAAGGATTTTGAATATTTTTCAAATGCCATTGAAACAATATAGTAGGAGATATAATATGTATAATGTAGGCATATTACTTATTTACTTGTATTTTTTTAAATTTTAAATTTTAAGTATTAACACATCCGATGATCTTTTTTACTAAATATTAAATATGTCATTGGTGTTTCACGCAAATTAGTTCTGTCTCAAAAATACCACTCACAAAATTCAATGTAAATCATTATTTTAGCACATATGATTTGGAAACACCAATATATCAAATAATTTGCTATACATTTTATGTTAATAGAGCAAATTGAAAAGATAGGCTTGGAACCAATGAAGGAAATGTTGAAAAGAGTCGGCAGATGTGAGATGGCCATAACTAGAAGCTGAGAATTGGAACGAATCGAAGTTCACGTGGATGGACTGCCTGGACAATTTTAAAGAAATGAAATAGAACATGAACTACTTATTCAAATTAACTACCAAACCAGATTTGAAAAACCTTATGAAAACAGCTATTTATGTAAGCTATTCTATATTCATACGATATCATTATATTCAACATAAGACGATAACAATAATCTGTTGTCGTTATGTGCAGAGTCCTGAAATCTGAATTATAAACATTTTTGTATTCACAATGTGTGTAATTTGTATGCACGATCTTCCTCTTTTGTTTAACATAATCACAAATCAATGGAAAACTATATCAATAATTATACTAGTAAATAGTTATGGTGAAACGTATTTACTCTATGATGGTCGCATTTTTGATCTTGGTGGTATTAAGAGTAATTCTCAATATTTTCTTAAATCCAGTCATATTTTTGACTCAAATCATCATCGAGTAAATACATTTCACCATAACTTTAGAGGTGTAATAATTGGTATAGTTTTACACTGATTTGTGATTATGTTAAATAAAAGAGGAAGATAGTGTTTGGCTCTTTTGCTCATAAATAAAACATACTGCAATAAGGAAAATGTGGTGCT